ACTTTTAAGTTACCTAACTATTCCTAGGCATGGAGCCTACCCTGAAGTGTGATTTAGGTATAACCATTCAAGAAAACTGATTTTCTTTTTCCAAGCAGGTATAATTTGCAAATACATTCTTGGTTATAGGTGGGACTTGGTGTCCACTCCTCCTTGTCAGTGATGGGATTTTGTCTGGTTTGAGCCTGTGAAGATCCTGTGTGTGTGTCACTGTGTGAGTACATCCTGAATCTGACTGGAAAAAATGTAAAGAACAGACTTGAATTCATTGGCACAGGAAAGGATTTTCTGAACAGGACCCCAGTAGCACAGGCATTAAGACTAGCAATCAATAAATTGGATCTTTGGAAGTTCAAACGCTTTGGCACAAAAAAGTTTACCAACATTTGAACAGAAAACCAGCCTAGTGAAAGGAGGGGGAATTCTTTATAATTTACATCTGACAGAGTTTTTTTTTTTATCTAAAATACACAAAGAACTAAAAAAAGAAAAACTCATCATCAAGAAAGCAAACAATGTAATTCAAAAATGGTGTATTGAACTTAACCAAGAGAGACTTCTCAAAAGATGAAACACAAATGGCTGAAAAGCATTTAAAGAACTGTTCAACATCCTTAGTCACCAGGGAAATACAAATAAAAACTACTTTGAGATTTCTTCTTACCCCAGTTAGAAGGCCAAGATCAATAAAACAAATGATAGCATATGCTGAATTTAATCAGTGATAGCAAACTGGTATAGCCACCCTGGAAATTAATGTGGAGGTTCTTAAAAAAGCTAAAAAATCAATCGACCTCAAGATTCACCTATAACACTGTTGGGCAAATGCTCAAAGGACTCTACATCTTACCATAGAGACACTTGCCCAACCATGTCCATTGCTGCTCTCTTCGTAAGAAGCAGACATTGGAATCAACCTAGATGTCTTTCAACTAATGAATGATAATTTTTAATAAGCAAATGTCATTCCTAATTATTGTTTATATATTATATATATACACATATATATAACTAAAGTTTCATTAATATACAAATTATAAAGCAGTGTTTTTCCATTCCCTGATCATTTACATGATCTTTTATGAACTACTGAAGGTGTGCATGGTTTTGACTTTGCAAACAAAACTCCACCAGAAATAAGAATGCATGTAAGGGGCTCAAAATGTTCTCTTTCACATTTTATCTACAGTGAATGAAACTTTTAAAATATGGACAGATAAGTGGAAAGAGGAATTAGAAAAGAGGAAAGTGATCAGCTGGAAATGGGGTAACTATGGGCTGAGACAGAGTTATTGCATATACTACATATGAAAATGTCATAAAGAAACCGTTTTGTTGCCGGCAGTGGTGGCACACGCCTTTAATCCAAGCACTCTGAAGGCAGAGGCTGGTGGATCTCAATAAGTTCAAGGCTAGCCTGGTCTACAAGGGGAGTTCCAGGACAGCCAGGACTGTTACACAGAAAAACTCTTGTCTTGAAGTCCCCCTTAAAAAAAAAAAAGAAAAAAGAAACTGTCTTGTACATATCATAAGCTAAGAAAAACAGACAAAACAATGGTTCAACCCTCACTATCAAATCATTTACAATTTGATTACAAATAAACCAGGCCTAGATGAGGCATCTCAGCAGGTAATGCCATCTGCTGCCCACCCTGTGACTTGAGCTTAATCACATCTTAATCACAGGGATCTACACAGTGGAAAGGGAGAAATAACTCTTGAAAGTTGTCCTCTTACCTTTACATATACACCACAGCACATGGATATATTTTCACACATGAACACACACATATACATAATTGTGCAATTAAAATAAATGAAATAAAATAATTCAATCTAGAATGATAGCTGATTTCATCACTCATTATTCTTTCTAGAAAATTAAAAAAAACTGAACTCAGTGTTTTCTTAAAGAGGAATATAAATGAAATGTTTAACTATTATAAAATGGACCTTTCTCTAATTGTGCACAAATCTATTCCATTCTAAAAGGTATTTATTCAGCAGTTGCTATAGTCATTGAATTATAAAATCAGGTCAATGTATTTCAGTAAGGTTACTTTACCATATTATGGATTCATTCAAAGGATTTTTTTAAAAAGCAGAAAATAACAGGAAAATAGTTATTTATGAATGATATTTGGTTGTCCTCTTGTACCTGAACATAATAATTCTCTCAAGTCCCCAAGTCAAAAACAAACCAAAGGAGACACTACAGTTAAATGTCAATGGCCCCTTTAACAGGAAGTTCTCCTTAATCTAGAAGAGCATTTTGGGAATAGGAAGACATGCTTATTTGTCTTGCTCTTATAACACTTTCACTTCTCATACCACTTTCCATAACATATACTCTATTAGCCAAGTAATTAACTGACTTCTGACTGAATTCTGAAATCTCGTAATAAAAAATGACTGCAACAAATAGCTACATATGCTGCTCTACAAAATATATTTTGGCAAGGCAGATATGCCAGTTCATACCTATCTTCCCAGCATTCAAGAGACTGAGGCAGGAGGATCACAACTTTGAGGCCACTCAAGGCTACTACACAGTAGGTTATATGCCAACTATCCTTTCTTAAAAAACAACAACGCCGGGCGTTGGTGGCACACACCTTTAATCCCAGCACTCAGGAGGTAGAGGTAGGTGGATCTCTGTGAGTTCAAGGCCAGCCTGGTCTCCAGAGCGAGTCCCAGGATAGGCTCCAAAGCCACACATAGAAACCCTGTCTCGAAAAACCAAAAAAAAAAAAAAAAAAAACCAACAACAAAAAACAAAAAAACAAAAACCTACATCACAACAACCAGACAAACAATAACAACCTGGACACAGAGCCAAAAGTAAATACCTGTAAATGAAAACAAGGGGAAGGATTAAATGTCATTGGTTTTAAGGATGTCAGTTTGATGGTCTGGTTAATCTTTGGGGCCTCTGGTAGTGTATCAGTATTTATACCTAGTACACGAATGGACTTTGGGAGCCTACTTCACATAGAGGACATTCTCTCAGCCTAGAAGCAAGGGGGGAGGCCCTAGGCCCTGCTCCAAATGATATAACAGACTTTAAAGATTCTCCCATGGAAGGCCCCACCCTCTCTGGGGAGCAGAAAGGAGATGGGATGGGGACTGGTGGGGGGCAGGGGAGGAGGGGAGGGAGAGGTAACTGGGATTGACATTTAAAACAAGCTTGTTTCTAATTTATATTTAAAAATAGGAAAAAAAATGTCATTGGTTCTGAGGTATCATCAACATGGCTTAACTCTGTCTTAACATAAGAGTTGACAATTCAGTGTCATTATTTTAGTTTCAGAAAATGGAATTTAAGGTCACAAGCTTAAACAATACAGTAAACAAAGCATGAAATAAATGGTTTTTAGTTCTTGACAGGTAGATACATATATACAGAGTTTGGTACATCCTAAAGCAAAGAAAATCTGTATCTTCCAGAAATAATATTTCATCATAGAATCATTAAATAATTCACAGATTATTTAGGTTGTATGAAGCGAAAGAACTGGTTCTCAAAGAGCAGCTTGTCAGTCTGACCAATAGCTTTGCATCAGCAGGGAATTTGAATGATTGTTTTGGTCATCGAAGACTTAGTAAGTTGCCTATACTACTGTACTGACATGAACCTCACAGGATTCTGACTGACCAACACTAAGTGTTAATGAGAAGATAAAGAGTACAAAATTAATATAAATTATTTTATATATATAAATATAAATTAGTGTTTCCAGGTTTTCTGGATTGGGGATTTCAGAGCTTGAATATAACGGGATGGCATCATGAATCCACATGAAATTTACCTCTGCTCCCTCAGGACTGCGAATCATAGAAACATGAAAATAAATGTGTGGAGCCAGCTGAGATTGGCTAAGGTTAATTCTCATCATCTACAGTAGCTAGTGCAGCTGTGCCCTTGACACTCCAGTGACTTCATCAATTCAATTTGCTAACACTGCACCACACATGAAGCCAGCGATTTTTGTGCATCCATGTCTCTTGGACTATACCAAGGTATTTCATAAGTATCACTCCAATGGGTCTATCACAAAAGTCTCACATCTACATTCCAGTCACTTGATTACACTCATAAGAAAATAGTACCCAGAGATCATTTTTCATGTTAATACCTAAAGAAGACAATCTGCATTTTCTCTTCATTGAGGGCCTGACAGACTTTTTGATTTAGTGCCCACAGTGGAAATCAACCATTTGTGCAGGTGGCTATTTTCAGAAATGAGAGAAAATAAAATTATATAAGCTTTACTACTGTTGTAAATACTAAGCTACCATGAAGTCAGAAAACTTTTTTAATATATGCATAAATGACTCATGGAAATTTAGGTTTAATTAAAACAAAACAGGATGGAATAAAGATTTAAAGAACAACGGATTTCCTAATTGTTCAACTAGCAAAAACAAAAATGCAGGTTTGAGAAGCCAGAAATTTTTAGAGTACCATTAATTCTGTCTTTGAAATGAAACCGCTACAGCATGCTTTTCTTAAAATGTTACACTTGTTATTAATTTAAATTAGTTTCCTATTTTAAAATCAATACTTATTTCTACTGTAGGATGGAAACGTTCTAGTCATTATGAATTCCCAAAGGAGTACCTTTATTTTCTGTTTTTACTGAGTTTACAAAACAGAGTGCTCTGCATACTATTTGAGAATAGTGTTTAATCAAAAGCAAAATAAATTATGCTTCTTGAAACTAAACAGCTAAGTATATTCAACTCATAGACAACAGTTATTTCTTTAAAATCTGTTTCCCATTCAATCTGTTGTCTACAAAAGACAGAGAGCCTCTTGATACTATAGATATGCTTACCCAAAGCAGATGGATTCCAGGGAGGTGAAGGATCCACAAATAAAAAGGACTAATCAGCTATGGGTTCTTAAAGTGATACTAACCAATACTTTTTCTTTCAAAAATAAAAGTTGACCCTTATATTTAAAAAAAAAAATAACCAAGGAGTTCAGCAAACCTTACTTCTGGCAGTGGGCTGGCTGGCTTTGTGAGGATTCCTCCAACGTATACAACATTAGGCAGGGTGGGTCTTGGAAACTCCAGTGCTACGTCAGTACACAACATCCATAGGCTGGACCCATGAACCAAATCATACATGGACTTCGAAGGCAGCAGGTTGTACTTCTGCATTATCCTCTCATATTTGGGAAGAACCAGAAAGCTAACCCCTATTCTGGAAATGAGGTAAACACCAGTATTTTTCATCCTTTCCAGGAAGTTCATGCGATCTGTGAGGAGTGAGTTAAACTCTGGTACATAAGCTAAAGGAGCAGGTGCTCCTACTTCAGCAGGATACCAAAGGCCAGTAGAAAATACAGCATATTTAACTCCTAAAAGATGAGCGATCACAAATCCACACATATCATTTGGGTCCACAAGTAGCAGGTCAAACTTTTCTTTTTTCAAACCCTGGATTAGGGCTTGGTTGCCAACTATCATGTCACAATTCTTAGTATAGTGATCCAGTATGTCAACCAGTTCAACTGCTGTCAATTGCCCAGAGAAAATATTCCGCATTTTAGACTGCAGGAAAGCATCTGAGGTGGTACTGTTGAAGATCCCTGGGTATCGCTGGAGGCTGTAGTGATTAGATGGGGCAATGTCTCTGCCTTCTGAAAGAAGGAACACAGTGTGGTGGCCTCTCTCATGCAACGCTGATGCTAGCGTCTTGAAAATGTACAAATGGCTTTCAAACATAATTGGCGGCACGATGATGATTTTGGCAGCCCTTGCTATTCCAACAGCACTCCATAGGAGCATGAAATATGTAGTGTAAGACTTCATAGCTGCAAAGACAACCAGAAAATGACTTAAAATGGTATAGACACCTAGCCACTCAAAACAATCACAAAAATTGTATTTTCCAAAATATATGATGATCAGAGTCTTTTAAAAAGTAGCCTAATACATGTTGCAAAGAAGAAAGTTATTATTTAAGTAGAGAATTGGAAGAAAGTGACACACAATATATATTAAGACCAATCCAAAAATACAATATTTAATCAGTAAATAAGAACTTTTGAACACAGTAACTTCTGCAAGGCCTAGAGACAAGTGATAACACTTCTTTGAACACTATCTATGAAACAGTATTAAAATTTCTTATTTTTAATACATGTCAATGTTAATTCTAGGAAGAATTTTTAATTTTCACATACATCACTACACAATTGCTACTTAAATTATTTTAATTTAGTGGTAACATTCCCAATTGTGACTAAAGGTTTCCAATGAGAAGCCACACTTCAGAATATAATTAAGTAGTAATTTAATAATTCTGCAGAAAATGTATTTCCCTCACAGGTAAATTAATCTTTAGTATGTTTTTCCTAATCACTAAATACACCAAATATCCTGGCAGTCTGTATTTATGTAACATTTTAGTTGTTATGCAATGTGTTAATTCAGGGCATCACCCAAGTGAATGACTTTCAAAAGAGAAGTGCAAGAGTAAATGCATATGGAAGAAGGGTTTTGTGAATGAGTATGTTCCAGACCACACCTTCTACATTCCACCTTCAACTAGAATGCCAACCTCGAGTCACATGGATATACATCTTAAGACAGGCATTACTTCTAGCCTTTCGTGTTAATAGGTTATGGACAAAGTCTTACTCTGACATTTATGAAAAATAAGCACATTCTATATAGGAGAACTCATAACTGTACACAAAACCTGCTGAATATAATCAGGCTCTAGGTAAGACTTCCAAGCAGAAAAACAGTCTAGTGAGTAATGCATAGAAATTGGACACTGATTTCAAGGAACAACTCAAAATATATATAGATATACATGGTGTCCTTGTGTTTATTTGCACAAGACTGTATATTATCCAAATTCTTTGAGCAAATTCCCACTATCTAAACTCAACTGAAACAAATATACCTTCTCAATATTAAATCCCTGCAAGCAATCTAAAATAATCATACACAAAATAAACGATTTATCCGATAATAAACATACTATATTTTCGGCTGTTTTCCCCTTTCTCACCCCAAGAAGAAATCAAAATAATGTATAATATAAATAAACAAACCTGTAAAAAAATAAAAAACACAGTTTTCTCAGCAATTACAAAGTCAATATTGGGTGAAATAAGTAATCAAACTTGGAGAAGAAAAAAACTTTCTAGGTTTTTAATGCACTATACTTTGGCCTCATACCAGTGTATGTCTCTGATGTTAGTTTCTTCCAGTTCTAAAGAAGAAAAACATTAGATATTTTGCAGGCATGTGTTATAAATTCTAGGGATAAGGCTTATGCAACAGCAGATATGACATAAAAACTGTTGTCTACTGTCACTATGTGCATAACCAAGATCTACTTGATGATGGATCCATGGCAGACAACAACTCTTCTACTGTTCTGGACTGATAATTAGTATGCACTCCAATCACACTCAAAGCCATGAATTGATCACAAATAACTGAACAATAATAGCATGCAAACAAACCCTTCCTCTGTTTCTTACTCCTAACTTACTATATTATTTCAGTCATTACTAAAATTAAAAAGAACCAACATAAAATACTTTGCTTCAATGAACTTCCTATGCTCTAAAATAGCACAATACAGGAGAATATTCTATGAGATGAAAAATGTGGATCCCTGTTGTCCTATTGGGCATCTTCTACTCACCAGTAACTACTGAGCAGTTTGATGAGCCTAGCAAGAGTAAGAACTGAAATCCAATTGTATTAATAGTTCAGCTACATGGAGCTAACGAATAGTGCCCTTGAATGAAAAAATACAACTATTGATTCTATACATTGATTCTAAAAATTACTATTTAGAAATACCAACATTCTCAAATCAAAACAACTTCTAGAAATAATGTCTACCATGCCTCCAACACAAAAGAGTAACTACTGAGAAAAGGCCACTGTGTTCTACTACTTAAATAAAAAATCAATTGTGAAAAATTATGGCAGCACCTAACTACAAGCACTATAAGTATCCCTGGGTTAATGAGAAAGGAAGGACCACAGCTGGCAACAAATGCTGAAATTCCCCTAGTCCACACACATCTGAGCACATCCCCTGAACTATTACCTTCCGGTGTTTCATACAAATCTTATCCCAATACTCAAATTTTAGGAAGACTGTTTATTAAGAACTGTATAGGTGAAGGTGGACTGGAGGAGACAGTGGTAGAAAGAGAGACAGATGGCAGCAGGTGAAGGGAGATACAATGAAAAGGGGGAAAGGAAAAAGCTGGGCAAGGCTCAGGGAGCATTGGTTTATTAAGAACTGTATAGGTGAAGGTGGACTGGAGGAGACAGTGGTAGAAAGAGAGGAGGGAGACAGATGGCAGCAGGTGAAGGGAGATAAAATGAAAAGGGGGAAAGGAAAAAGCTGGGATAAGAGCTAGAGGAAGGGGATGAAAAGGACAGCAGGACCTATGTGTTCTCCGCTGGAACTAGCTATTGGAAGAGGTCTAAGCTTATGTCCTTATTGGGCAGAGGGAGAGGGTGCCTGAGGGGTGAAAACCCAGAAGGTGACAGATCCTGTTACTGGAGGAGGGGAAGTTGGGGTTGGCAGGTGTGGGGGGAAGGAGGGAACTTATGAGGGGAAAGCAAACAGGACAGGTGAGACTGAAGGGCAGATGAGGCAGGCCCTGGAGGGGGAAAGCCAGGTGAATGAAAGGCTTTCATGGTGCAGGGGGCCTGGGCAGCAGGAGGAGGTAAAAGCTGGTGGGGAGCCTCTCCCAACAATGAGAGAGAGAGAGAGAGAGAGAGAGAGAGAGAGAGAGAGAGAGGCTACTGGAGAATTGAAGTAATAATCTATCTCTAATTTATGTTGTCCCAGTTCTCCTATATGGGTTTCTAGGAGGCTGGGGCTTGGAAGCACAGCCTTGCCCCACTCCTATGCTCCCTGAGTTTTGGCTGTGTGTGAGGGGGTGGACTGCTCCTCCCTTGAAAGACAATACCACCCCACCCCCACTTCCTGATTTCTATCCCCTTTTCCTGACAGTAAGTTATGCAAAGAGAGATGAAAGAGGAAGGGTAGGTTGGGAAAACAGGAAACAAGGAGGAAGCTTGAAAGACTGGGGTAGGGAGAACTGAGCCATCCCAGTAGGCCTCTACCTAGTCCAAGGCTGAGTTATGGGATCTCGAGAAGGGTGACCTATTTGGTTTACCCACCCTGCCCCTGGAGGTAGCAGGAGGGCTCCACCCAGCTAACGGAGCTCTCCAACTCTTCCCTCCTGATACCAGGTCAGGGAGGGCTAGCATCTTACCATCTTCTCCTCACCACCTCCTGATGGAGGTGCAAGGCAGAACCCCTCCTGCTTGCTGTCCCTCACTCATGCCTCCCCTGAGATGGTGGGAACTGTGTGTGGGATGGGGTAGGGGGTTGAGGTAGCCTTTTGCCAGGAGCTGGAGAACCAGCACCATCTGGAAGCCATTCCCTGTAAGGGTGAGAGCCCCCCAGTGACCACTTTTAGTAAAATAGGATCATGCCCAGCCATCCTGGCCTGTGAGTGGGTGCCCCCTTGCCAACAAGGTGGCTAGGCAACTCACTTGTCCCTGGAAAAGTGAGATGTGGAGCCAACGAAGGGAAAGGGATGCTTTCCTCAGATTTTCCTGTCACTATTAGGCCTCGGTCCAACCCCACTGTGTACATAGCCTCTTCAGATGGTCCTGGTGAAACAGAATTTCACATTTTTAACTACCCAGTCTCCTGGGGTGAGGAAGAATCTTCACCCCTACCCTTTCCTCTGCATGTACTGGAACCCCACTGCTGCCTGGCCTGGGCTCTACCTTGCACTATTTCCCCCTCTTGGCCTGGCGCTCCCCTCCCCAAAGGGGCAAGTGCTCTCCTCTCCTCATGCACCCCCATGCCCATTTGCACAGCTTCCCAGGTACCCCCAATGGTGGGGAGGGACCTGCATCTATTTTAACCACTGTCTGAGGATTTTAGATTAAATATGACCCACCAATTCCAGTATGTGACTCATGACAGCACTTGGCATTTTATATGGCAAAGAATAGTGATTAGGTGAAACAACAAGCAAACAGCTACACCAGATCAGGCTTGAAAGGGGCTGTAAAGCAGTACTGCTAACTTCAGAAGTCACTCAGATGGTATATATGGTTGTTGTAAAGACACTAAAGCATGCTCTCTCCAGAAGCCTAAAGGCACACTTGGGTTTGTCTTATCCTTTCTCTGGCACTTATTAAACCTTGTACTTAAATCATTTAAAATCTCTTTCAGGTAAATTCCAACTCCTCTTCATACAGACTTGCCCTAACATTTTCTGTGGCACAGTCAAGAATCACAGCCTCACCTGAGTAAATATTTCTGAAGAGAACTCCTACAGCACTGAAGCAGTATAGAGCTGTTTCTCCAGCAGTGGCTATACTGCTATTGACAAGAGTTTTCCCTTGAGTTTGGAGGTTCTATTTTTCTTCCTTAGGTAACCCCCAAAATCATAGCACTGTTATAGATAACTAAGAGAATTACCCATTACTCAATCACAACAGCAGCAAATGTACTAGGGGATTCTTTGATGTGCTAGATGCCATACTGAGGTACAAGAAAATGACTGTGGCTTCTGTTCTCTTTTCAAGGAACAGTGTTCTCTACTTCAACTTCGTTCATGGCCCAAAAATGAAAAAGAACATGTCAAGCCTCCAGTTTTAGTCAATAAATAATTTCTCCCACAGGAGGAGGAGATAGAGTAAAGCAGGGGCCTAGAAACCTCTTTTACTAAAAAGCATGGACTCTTCATTGGGGCCTGAAGCAGGATGAAAGGCTAACTAACATTCTTGCCATTGTTTTG